TAAAAACTCAAGTGCATTCGTTCACGTATTGCCTTAAGGATGTCAAGTTTGGAATGATTTAAATGGACGGAAAACTAAATCCGCAGCATTCCAACTCAAAATTGACTCGAATAAACGATGATTTGCATTATTTGTGTATTAAATAATTAACATTTTCAAGTGTCTTCGAACAGAACGACACTCAAATCTTTCCTACTGCTGAAGTCTGGATATAAAATAGAGATGGATTGCAATTGGCTCGAATTTTCGAAGATTCGATTTGTGCCGATCGGATGAAGTGCCGGATTCGGGTGAGAGCGAGACATTTTCTAGATCATTTTTCTTGATGGGGTCAAATAGAATCGGTGATCATTTTTCAGAAACCAACTCAATTTTAGTAGATATCGCTGAAATTCTTGTTAGGGAGATTCTGTGTATATGGCAAATTTAGTCGACGAATGAACAGGAAATGGCTCATTCTGTTCTCATGTAATCTCATCGGGCAAACGTCGCTCCTAATGTACTGCTATATCAATCAGGCCTGGCAGAAGAGAAAACGATAAATCGCTAGGCAAGGTACACTTTATGATAGCCAGAAACTATTCGTACGATCACATGAAGAGAGGAGAAATGAACATGAGACGTACGTACCTTCATCAGACGCATCGATACAGTCATGCACACCGTCTTGAACTTTCAGCAGTGGAATACAAGCACCATCAATTGAGCAACGAAATTCACTTTTTGTACAGTTATTTGCAGTAGTAAATAATATCAACAAATGGCTGATAGCCAACCCGATTAGAACATTTCGATGTGATAATAATCTTCGCCGCATTTCATCAGATTAGAATAGATAAGTAACAAATAACAAATTTTTCATGAGACGAAGACAAACTTTGAAGAAGGCACACGAATGCAATGATGAATATGATTACGATGCTGATGATGGCACTGTATATTCCTTTTGAATATCTTCTTGTTGTGTGTGTGTGCCCCAAGGACAGAAGGGACGCGTTGTGTGAAACAGTCAGCACACAACCAACACCTTTGTTGGTGACACACGGTCACGCCCATTATATAGGGAACAGGGAGGGGGGGGGATTGGATGGATATGAAGGTTTGTGAAGTGAAGGTGGGTGGGCATTTAATGATGATGTTTTGCTGCGAACGCAAGAAAAAATACCGATCAAGAAAAGACTTCATCAGATGAGATTTATAGAACTGTGGTTTATAGAGAAATAAAAATTTTGACGAAGGTAACAGCAAATACAGAAATGATAATAAATTATATTGATTATTG